TAAGGCAAGTTTTCCCAGGGGGGCTTTTGTTAGCTCTGCGAGACAGGCTTGATTCCTTAAAGGGAAGCACACCCTTCCAGTCAAAGCATTGGTAAAACAATTAGTTTCATTTTTCACATTTTATTCACAGAAGTACATGTTACTGAATTGTTAAAGGCTGTATGTAGCTCAAAATAGGTTTCTTCAACTCTGAAAAAATAGGAATCATCAATATTTCAAGCAAAAGTTTAAAAAATTATTTTACTTTTCTATTAGTTCATTCTATTTAGTTAACTGCTGTTTTGCTTGATGTTTGTGAACATTTTAGCTCTTCATAGCTACTGTACATTTTTTCTTTATTCCAATGTTACAATCTCCAAAGTTCTTAGAAACTTGCATTTAAGAGCACCTGTCAAAAGTTTTATATATCTATACATATATACTTTAAGTTCTGGAGTACAAGTGCAGAACATGCAGGTTTGCTACATTTTTATATATGTGCCACGGTGGTTTGCTGCATCCATCACCCTGTCATCTATATTAGGTTTTTCTCCCTATCCCTCCCTTATCTTCCCACTCCTTGAAAGAACCCGAGTGTGTGATATACAAGGAGATTAGTGTTTTTTATGCCTATGGGCACAATATCTATTCTGCAGCTCATGAATCAATGTGTAATTTCTACCTTACATTTTGTAAGGCTATAGCTGGAATAGATAATAATTTCTTTGATACATTTGGGCAAAGAAAATTAAAATTTTTCTAGAAAGGATTCACCATTTTAGAAGTCATGAAGAACATTTGTGATTAATGGTAGAAGTTCAAAATGTCAACATTATAAGGAGTTTGTGGCCAAGCACGGTGCCTCATGCCTGTAATCCCAGCACTTTGGGAGGCTGAGGCAGGTGGATCACTTGAGGTCAGGAATTTGAAAACAACCTGGCAAACCTGGTGAAACCCCATCTCTACTAAAAATACCAAAAAAATAAAAAAAAATCTGGGTGTGGTGGCACATGCCTGTAATCCCAGCTACTCAGGAGGCTGAGACCAGAGAAACACTTGAACCCAGGAGGTGGAGGTTTCAGGGAGCTGAGATCATGCACTGTGGTCCAGCCTGGAAGACAGATTGAGACTCCATCTCTAAAAGAAAGAAAGAAAGAAAGAAAGAAAGAAAGAAAGAAAGAAAGAAAGAAAGAAAGAAAAAAAAAAAAAAAAAAAAAGGAATATTGGAAATGGTAAACATAGGCTAAAGTAAAAGATTCTTTTTATTTTTCAATTGTCTCTAGAAGACAAATGAATATTCAAAATAGTAGTAGCAGTGGTAGTAGTAATAATGCATTGTTGGATTTAGACATATGTAGAAAGCATGATGACAATGGCACAAGGGAAAGAAAGAGGAAATGGAAGCCTGTCATTCTAAAGTTCGCCTTGTAACTGAAGTGACATAATATTTTATGAAGGTGGACTATGGTAAGTTAACGATATATACTGAAACCTTAGAAGAACCATTAAAACAGTAAAACTAAGAGTTATAGGTAATAACCCAAGAGTGGAGGTTAAAAAAAAATCCCACAACTTAATAAACCCAAAACAGGGTAGGGAAAAAGGAACAAAATATCTAGAAGACTACAGGTGTGTGCCAACATGCCCGGCTAATTTATTTTACTTCTTTTTTGTTTTTGAGATGGGGTCTCACTCTGTCACCCAGGCATGGAATGCAGTGGCACAATCTCAGCTACTGCAACCTCCACCTTCCCGGCACAAGCAATCCTCAGCCTCCCAAGTAGCTGGGACCACAGGCACACGCCAGCACACCCAGCTCACTTTTGTAATTTTTGTAGAGACAAGATTTCACTCTGTTGGCCAGGCTGGTCTTGAACTCCTGACCTCAAGTGATCTGCCTGCCTCGGCCAATTTTTATTTTCTTTTATTTTTTGTAGAGCCAGACTCTCACTACACTATTTAGGCTGGTCTCAAACCCCTGGTTTCAAGTGATCCTCCCATCTCAGCCTCCCAAGTGTTGGAATTATAGATGTGAGCCATCATGCCCAGCAGAATACCTAATATTTTGAGGGCCATTACCCATCTATTCCCAGTTGTGTGAGGTCATGTATCACCATGGAATGTAAGTAACAGGATAGCTAACTAACTTTGACTTAAGCAATAATGGCAATTAATTATTTCATATAATGGGAATATCCAAGTAAGGGGTCAGAGCTGTTAGAATACTTGTCTCCTGGGCCGGGCGCTGTGGCTCACGCCTGTAATCCCAGCACTTTGGGAGGCTGAGGCGGGTGGATCACGAGGTCAAGAGATTGAGACCATCCTGGTCAACATGGTGAAANAGAAGGGAAGAAAGAGTAAGAAAGAAAGAAAAAGAAAGAAAGAAAGAAAGAGAAAAAGACTTGAGGAGAAGTTGATTCCAATACTTATGAAAGACCCTGATGGATTCAAGAGTTCGGTTGTGGTTGATCCAAGATGGTTCAATTAGAAGCAACTGCAGTTTATGTCACACATGAAAAGGAATGAAAAGGGGAGAGTGAATTCAATACCTTCAACTGAAACATCTAGGTTCTCACAGTGGGACTGAGTATGCAAACCAATTGACCTACTGAGAATAAAGTAAAGTGAGGGAGTGACAGCCTACTCAAAAGTGTCATGGAGCCAAAGGAATCCATGCTCCAGCCAAGGGAAGTGGAGAGTGATTGTGCAACTCTCCTGGGAAACCATGCTTCCCCATGGATCTTTGCAACCCGTGAATCAGGAGTTCCCTTCATGAGCCCATGCCACCAGGGCATTATGCTGATACACAGAGCTGTGTGGAATCTTGACATATTGCTGGCTTTAAATACCATCTATTCAATGACAGTGGGTTGGAATGTGCCTGAAATAGGAATGAGTTCCCAGGGGAAGAAGTAGCCACCATCTCTGCAGTTTGGTACACTCAGTCATTCCAGCCTGCCACCTGTGTATATTACAAACATTCTGGAAAAGGAAAGATCCCCCAGAATGCAGGAAAGTTGCCTTACCAGGTTGTGTCCAGACTACTTCTTTAAGTGGGACCTCCCTGTGGGAGGTTCAGCCACTCCAGCAAGTGTTCTACAGACAGAACTCCAATCTATCCCTACAACAGAGCTCTAGGGATTGGGGGGTGGGGGGCCAGGGATGGCCACCATCTATGACATTTGATAGACTCAGCCATTCCAGCCTGTCAGTTGTGGAAAATGCAGACAGTCTGGATGAGGAAGGGTCCCCCACGATGCAGCACAGCTGCCTTGACAGGTTGGGGTCAAACTGCTTCTTTAAGTGAGATTCCAATTTATTCTTTCTTACTGGGCAATATATCCCTACAAGGGCTTCAGCCTCTCCAGGCGAAGATCTACAGAGAGAGCTCTGATCTTTCCCTAGGGTAAAACTTTCCAGAAGAGGGGTGGCCACCACCTCTGTGATTTTATTCAGCTGCTGCAGCCTGCCAACTTTGCAGAATATAGGCAGTCCGAATGAGGAAGCATCTCCCAATGCAGCACACCCTCTACCAAAGAGCAGTCAGACTGCTTCTTTTGGTGGGTGTCTGATCTCATTCCTGACTGTGTGAGATCTCTCAACGGGGGTATTCAGCCAACTCTTACAGAGAAGTGTGCAGGCCAACCACAGTTGATTAACCCCCTAGGACAAAGCTTCCAAAGAAAAGAGCTGGCTGCCATCTTTGCTGTTTTGCATCTTTCACTGGTGATACCTCCAAGTAGGAGAGAAACAGAGGCAACTGGGATCTAGAGTGGACCCCTAACAAACCACAACAGCTCTACAGTACAGTGTCCTGACTATTAAAAAGAAAAACAGAAAACAATGACAACAAAAGCAAAAACAAAAACAAGGCCCCACAAAAAACCTCCATTCAAAGGTCCTCATTCAGCAATCCCCCCGAAATCAAAGGTAGATAAGCCCACAAAGATTACAGGAATCAGTGCAAAAATGCTGAAAACTGAAAAAGCCAGAGTGCTTCTTCTCTTCCAGGTAACTGCAACACCTCTCCAGTAAGGCCTGAGAACTGGGGTGATGCTGAGATGGCTGAATTGACATAAGTAGGCTTCAAAAGGTGAGTAATAACAAATTTTGCTGAACTAAAGCATGTTGTAACTCAATGAAAAGAAGTTAAGAATTATAATAAAACAATACTGAATCTGATAGCTAGAATATCCAGTTTAGAGGGGAGTATAACTGACAAGATGGAGCTAGAAAACATGACACAAGAACTTTATAATGCAAACACAAACATCGATAGTAGAACAAACCAAGTGAAGGAAAGAATATCAGAGCTTGAAGATTATCTTTCTAAAATAAGGCAGATAAGCATAGAGAAAAAAATGAAAAGTAATAAACAAAACCTCCAAGAAACATGGTATTATATAAAAGACAGAACCTATGACTGATTGGGGTACCTGAAAGAGACAGGAGATTTAAACCAAGCTAGAAATCAAAAGAAACCAGAGAGAAAGCCCAGGTCAACTGCAAAGAGAAGCCCATCAGACTAATGGTGGATCTCTCAGTGGAAACCCTGCAAGCCAGCCACTCATATCAAACATTCTTAAAGAAAATATTCAATATTCAACATTCTTAAAGAAAACAATTTCCTTTAAGGGGGTCAATATTCAACATTCTTAAATAAAATAATTTTTAACCCAGAATTTCATATCTGGCCAAACAAAGCTTTATAAGCAAAGGAGAAATGAGATTCTTTTCAGGCAACCAAATGCTGAGAGAATTTGTCACCACCAGGCCTGACTTGCAAGACCTTTTGAAGGAAGCGCTGACAATGAAAAGGAGCAATCATTACCAACCACCACAAAAACACAGTGAGGAACACAAACCAGTGACACTATGAAGCTGCCACATAAAGAAGTCTGCAAAATAACCAGCTAGCATCATGGTGACAGAATCAAATTCACATCTAATAATACAAACCTTAAATGTAAAGGGGCTAATAAAAATGAACGAGGTCATTTCCTTTGCAGGCACATGGAGAGAGCTGGAAGTTGTTATCCTTGGCAAACTGACTCAGGAACAGAAAACCAAACACCACATGTTTTTACTTTTAAGTGGGAGCTGAACAGTTAGAACACATGGACACTTGGTGGGGAACAACATACACTGGGGCCTGCCAAGGAGGTGGTATAGGGAGAAAGATAATCAGAAAAAATAGTTAATAGAAGCTGGACTTAATATTTAGGTGATAGGATGATCAGTGCAGCAGACCACCATGGCACACATTTACCTGTGTAACAAACCTGCACATATACCTTTGAATTTAAAAGTTTAAATAAATAAATAAATAAATAAATAAACATAACACAAGTTAAAAAAAATACTTCAGTAGAGGAAGTGATGGCAGATGTAGTGGGAAAAGATCAAGAACTAGAATTCAAAGTGTGGTCTGAATATATAATTAAATTGATTCAATCTTATGATTAAATTGGAACAGATATGAAGTTGCATCGTGTGGATAAGAAAATAAATTGGTGTATTGAGAAAACTGGAGAAGATGCTGTAAACATTGCCAAAATGACTCAAAATATTCAGAATATTACATAACTTTCTTGATAAAGCAGTGGGAGAATTTGAGAAGATTGGCTCCAATTTTCAAAGAAGTTCTACAGTGAGTAAAATGCTCTCAAACAGTGTCACATGCTTCAGAGATATCTTTCATGAAAGAAATAGTCGATGCAGCAAACTTTATTGCTGTCATTTTAAGAAGTTGCTACGGCCACTCCAATCCTCAGCAAACAGCATCAGAATCAGTCAGCAGCTAATGTTGCAGGACTTTTCCTTAGTTCAGCTAAAGATGGAGTTCTTGTTCCATGAGCACAAAAATTTAGGCTTGCAGATGACTGCAGGGTGAGAATAATGGGATTTATTGGGCAAAAAGAGAAAAAGGGAAATAGGAACTCTCTGCACTGTTTCATCCCTCCACCTCTAAAGAAGTACATCTAAATGCCATTAGAATAAGGATAAAGATGAAGACTGATCTTAACAGCTTCCTGCTGACAGGAGGCATTGTTTTGATGAAAATGGCAGTCAGAGCTCCCTCAGAGATGTATGTAAGGGTCCCTAGCAGGAGGAGCCATTGTTCCAGGATCTGGTTGCATGACCACTTGTAGTTTGATGGCCCAAAGGCAAGAACAAACAATCTGGGTTATTAAAAAACAGGTATCAAAATAAAACAAGGTGGAGGTACAAACAGCTAAAAAATCCGGAGGCCATTTATCAGTTTGAATGCGGAGAGGGAGGCCAAATGCCCAACTGTTAAAAAAAAATTACCCATTGGCCACCATGTTAGGCTTTTGGGTTCCCTTCCCCTGAGTCTAATCCTAAGCCAACCAGTTTAAAGTTTGGGAAATTAATGTTTTCCAGTTTGGAGGATGCATCTGAGGGAGTGCCCTGTAGTATGGAGACACAATTATCTAATTGTAAAAAGTGGACCAAGGAGGAGGAAAAAAAAAAGTATGTGGTTTTTCAAAGGAGTCCCAAGGGTTCAGAATGCATTTGAAAGGGGTACAGACTGAAGATTAACAGTTATTTATCTAGAAAGAGGGGAACAGGCATCCCTGATTCCCTTTACTTCCTAGAAGATACTCAGGGTACATGAAGGAGAGAAGGAAGAACATCCTTTTCCCCACTTCTGTCTTTGCAACCCCAAGTCCTGATGACTTTGGCAGGTGCTGCCACGGGTGTCAAAGTGACTTGCATCCATGAAGCAGAGGGCCAAGGGATGGGAATTATCCACTCTTATCCACTTACACCCTATCTCTTCTGCTGTCAGTAGCCTTGAATTCTCTAGACCTCATTTATGCCATGGATACTAGCATGGCCCCTATCCATGAAATGGGAACCTTGGGCTTGGCTTGATTGGCAGGATTAGCCATGCTTACCTGCACTGTGACTTTTAACTTCTGTTGTCATCTGCCTCAATATATCCCTTAGATCCAGTTTTCTTTCCTAGGGCTTTGACACGAAGCTTGGAATTTAGGTTGGAAATACAATGTCTCAGGGAGGGTTGCATAGACTCCTTATCATAAGCTGAATGCTAAGGTAAAACTGTTCAACTGAGTCCCCCTCCAGCAAGGGAGAGAAAAAATTGTCTTATGACAGACCTAGATAACTAGTAGCTATAGTTATGCTTGCTAGGATTTGGGTGCATGATACTTGGCTTTGGTTAGCTCTCTTGGTCTTACTTTCCCAAAAAGAAAACCTGCAGGTGATGGAAACCCTATTTATTTCCACCACCTGGCAGGATTTTCAGAATAATTGCTTAGAACTAGAATATGAATCCAGATTCATATATTACTGATTCCCTTTATCCTTTCTGAACTGCGGCCAGAGATTGCTGGTTGGTTCACAGAAACAAGCAGGGTTAATCTAAAATGTAGACAGAAATTTCAAAACAACTAATGAGTTTAGAATTAAACGACAACTATATAAATTTTGAAACATGAGTTTTGCTAAATAAAACAAATCAAGATGGGATCAAATTGTTTGCAAAATAGACTTTTTAATCTTATACTTGGCCTTACTATTTGCATAAAGTGCAGCAAGAATAATTGCTTCTACATAGGCCTTTTGGATTGGCTTTGATGGAAGTCTGTTTTACAAGGACCTTATAAAGCTGAGCCCAGCCATGGACTTGTAACTGCAAATACTCCTGAGTTAGGTGATCCTTTTTTCTTAAGGTCTCAAGATAAACTTCGAGCTCCTGGTCCTTTAAGAAAGTGACATTCATTGCTGACCACAGGTCAAAAACCCTGTACAAGAACTGCATAAACAAGGGTATGAGGCCAGTTTCCCTACTGGGCTTTTAATGGCTTTACAAATTGAGATTGACTTCTTAAAAGGAACATACTCTTCCAGTCAAAGCCTTAGTAAAATAACTAGTTGCTTCCAATTGTGTCCTGTTGAAAAAAAAAAAAAGTCTTCTGACTACACTGATGCGTACAACTATATTGCCATAAGTTACTAATACTCACAGATGGTTTCCAAATTATGGAGGAACTAGGCAGAAAGAAGCAAACATGCTCCAAATGTTGATTACAAGAGTATACCTTAATCATATAAAACTGTAAATAATTTAAAATAAGTTTTCTTGACTCTGAAAAACAAAACAAGGATCAGACAACAGTCATAAACATTGCTTCAATTTTCTGAGTTTAGTTCATTTAGTTAGCTGTTGTTTTGCTTGATATTTGTGCACACTTTAGGTCTTTATGAGTCCTGTACATTTATACACATGCACACACACACACACATACATATTATGGCACTTTAGGTTGTGGGGTACATGTGCAGAACATGCAGGATTGTTGCATAGGTACGTACATGGCAATGTGGTTTGCTGCTTTGATCCCCCTGTCACCTATATCTGGCATTTCTCCCCATGTTATCCATCCCCAACCTCCCTACTCCCTGCTGTCCCTCCCCTATTCCCCCCAACATATCCCAGTGTGTGATGCTCCCCTCCCTATGTCCATGTGTTCTCATTGTTCAACATCTGCCTATGAGTGAGAACATGCAGTGTTTGATTTTATGTTCTTGTGTCAGTTTGCTGAGAATGATGGTTTCCAGATTCACCCATGTCCCTACAAGGAACACAAACTCATTGTTTTTTTTTATGGCTGCATAGTATCCCATGGTGTATATGTGCCACATTTTCCTTGTCCAGTCTTTGCTTTTGTAAACAGTGTCCCAATTAACATACGTGTGCATGTGTCTTTATGATAGAACAATTTATAATCTTTTGGGTATATACCCAGTAATGGAATTGCTGGGTCAAATGGAATTTCTATTTCTAGGTCCTTGAGGAATCACTACATGTCTTCCACAATGGTTGAACTAATTTACACACCCACCAACAGTATAAAAGTGTTCCTATTTCTTCACATCCTCTCCAGCATCTGTTGTCTCCAGATTTTTTAATGATTGGGATTCTAACTGGCTTGAGATGGTATCTCAATGTGGTTCTGATTTGCATTTCTCTAATGACCAGTGATGATGAGCATTTTTTCATATGTTTGTTGGCCTCATGTATGTCTTCTTTTGAAAAGTGTCTATTCATATCCTTTGCCCACTTTTGAATGGGTTCATTTGTTTTTTTCTTGTAAATCTGTTTTAGTTCTTTGTAAATTCTGGATATCAGCCCTTTGTCAGATGGGTAGATTGCAAAAATTTTTTCCCATTCTGTTGGTTGCTGATTCACTCTAATGACTGTTTCTTTTGCCATGCAGAAGCTGTAAATCATTTTTTGAAAAGGAATAAAACAAGACAATTGTCTGTGAATAACCAAATGTACAGGGTAGAGACAGTTAGAAATACAACTGACAAAAAAGTTTGGTTATGTCCGTGGTTTACAATAAGTTAACATAACAAACTTAATTGTAACTTGTAACATCTACTTAGATATTAGAATTTTGAAATCCTATACAATTTTGAAATATTCATTAGCATTCACAGAAATATAATCTAAAGAACTTTGAACAATATTTTGGCAATTTCATGTACCTAAATATGTCAAATAATCCTGTCTACCTCTCTTTTCTCAACGTTTTAGGGGCCCTCTGAAGTATCCAAAAAGCCACGGGTCAGGAAAGACAAATTTGAAACTAAAATTTGATTGTGGAAAGCCTATTGAATGTATTTAAAGCACTTGAAATTATGAAATAGAATTCCACATTACCATAAGTTGTTTATTTTGTCAAAATGATGACTCATAAGTTTAAAGAAACAGAAATCTTTTATAACCTTTCGCAAATTTTGTCAAAGATCAGATTAGCATCTTAAGAAAACCTTGTTGTTCTTTTATTTCAATGCTTAATTCACAGAAAAACCATATGATGCTCTTCTACATTTAGTCGACATGTTCACACAAATAATCTATTTTTTAAGATTAATTTCCACATTCAATAGTCTCAATCACATGTTATAATGTTAACTCCCAGCAATTTTTAACATTTATTCTTTCTTTTTAAATTTATTTTTAATTTTTTCTTGTAATTGATTTTATTTTCATTTATAATTTTTCCGTAGGTGATTCGGGTACAGGTGGTGTTTGATTACATTAGTAAATTCTTTAGTGGTGACTTGTGA